GATTCCACAGCTGAGTCTCCGCCACCCCGAGTTGAGTCCCCTAACTTGTAGAAGCGTGCAAAGGTCTCCGAGGGGATGGTTCCAGTATGAGGGGCGAACCCAGCGGCCCGTGCTATCTCCCCGACGCGGTCAGAGAACGCCTTCAACTCCTTGGGTCTCAGGTCCACCAAGTACCTGGTTCAGGAAACTGCATGTGAGGAGACAGGGCTTTAGGCCCAGCTGGGACCTTCCCACCCCGTTCCTCTGGCTCACCGAGCTAATTCCACAACGAGGTTCCCTCCAGGGGCCACACAAGCCCCAAGCTCAGGGCTGAGAAGATGGACCATCCTGAGGAGAGAAAAGGCTACGAGTTGAGATACACGGGTAGGGGCGAAGGCCCGGAGAGGGTGGAGATGGCGAAGCTGAAGTCTCCAGGTCCCGAGAAAGAAGAAACCGGGCCCAATTCTAGGTCTCTCTCAGCATCTTGTGTCCCACTTACCCACAGGCTACATAGAGCAGCTGGAACCGGCCCTTGTAGCAGGTCTTATGGTGGAGAGTCTGCGAAGAATCCAGAGGCAGAAAGTGCATAGTAAAGGGTTCTTGAGTAGGCGCTGCAAGAGAAGAAAAAGGTCAGTTCTGGGGCTGGAGAGATGGCTTACCTACTAAGAGAGCTTGCTACTCTTTAGAGACCATGACTTTGGTGCCCAGCACCAAAACCCATGTCGGATGGCTTATAACCATCTCTAACTCGTTTCTGAGGAGATGGCGCCCTCTTGTGGTCTCTGAAGGAGCCTACGCGTGCGTGTGCATACACACATACGTAATAACTGAATCTTAAGGGAGATAGTAAAAAAGACACACTCAAGTGGTCAGACAAATATTGGACGCCCCTTGTTCTCTACTTTTGTTTTTTGTTTGGAGACAGGTTCTCATCTTGTAGCTGAAGATGTCTGGAATTGTTACAAACAGCAGGCATTTCCTCCTGCCCCAGCCTCCTGAATACTGGGACGGCAGTCATGCACGGCCATGCCTGGCTTTCTTTAAAATTATTTTTTGGTGATCACGTGTTCCACAGTGTTCGTGTGAAAGGTCAGGTGGCAACTTTAAGGAGTCAGCCCTCTCCTCCCGCCTTTACTTCCGTCCCAGGGACCAGACTTGGGTTG